ATAGCCTTCTCTGCACTATCCTTATACTGGCGTCCAGAGTGTGCCATCCATTGCGCGGGTTTTTCAACCATGGATGTGCCTTGCAATGAACGAGCTATGGCTTGAGATGCCCACATCTCCAACACTAGAATTGCAACAAAAGTAAGCTTCCAACTCGGATTCGAAGGCATTCTTTTGAGCAGGAGTGTTTAATGTATTTGAATTTAATGATCTGAAGTAATGTGTTGTGCAATCCATCAGAGAGACACAGGTATTTATAGAATTCTTGGTCATTCTTCTTCAAAATATCATCTTGTTTCATTTCAAAGTCCCTGGAAAGCCCGGCAAGTTATGGATGAAAGGGAAATTATAGCTAAATTCCGTGGCCGCTGCTTCATTACATTCAATTAATAAAATCATTCAATTAATTCCGTGGCTGATGCTTTATTATTATATAAAATAAGAAACTAAGTCGTATCAATTGCTTACTGCATTTTCTTACTCATTTTCAGCATTAATATCAATGGCTTGTAGAAGCATCGAACTGGGAATTTTTATACTTTTGAAGGAGATTTGAATTGGAACACAACGCAATACTGCAAGTGCACAAGTGAGAAAAGTCGAATCCTATGAAGGTTGGCCTCTTTGAATTTAAAAAATACATGAACTAGTTTGATCATTTTAACAAACTAATCGATTGGCAATAAATTAATAAAATTAAAGAGACTGACAATTAGTTTAGAGAAAATTTGAATGTGAGAAAGTACTGGGATTTTGACTCTACTTAATTATCCACTTTAATTTCTATGATTACATTCTAGTTTATATTTACTTATATTGACGACTGATGCTCCTTCGATGTTCGACAATTCCTCTCGAGTAGACTCAAACTTATTATGATGTACAGATTATCTCTATCTCCATGAGAATTAAAAATTACAAAATAAAGTGTCAATCACAACCAACATCATTCATGATCAGACAATCCATAACGATATATTTATGTTCCCTTTAGAATCTCTGTTACGAGAACTAAACACACATTTCACCTCTCGATTTCAATGTGATTCTCAAACGGATCCTAAAATTGGCCAAATAAGAAGAAATCAATTAACTCTATAACTAGTAATCAAACATCAAGTAAATGTTTAGAAACTACACACTTGTGTGAAACGTAATCTTCAACTCAAGTAGGCTTACATCATCATCATCGTAGCACATAACAATTTAGCACATTTTGTGAAAATGAGAGAAAATACAAGATAAGTTAGAAAAATGAATTTTCAAAGGGCTGTGCTGTTGTCCTAGAGGTTTGTACGTTCGAAGTTCCAAAATGCCCTCCGCACAAAATGGAATTAAATAGGAAAAATGTTCCTTCTATTTCATTTGTGACCATCTTTTCATTTTTCCATCTCCATTATCAAATTCATGAAAGCTCGGGTATAGACTCTTTCACTTTGCTTCAAATTCAAACTTCTTTTCGTTTTCTTTCCATTTTCATCGATGCAGCTCACATTCAGGAATAAAACCCAAAACATAAAAATAAACCAACGTAATAATAACATGGAAATACTCTAATAGTATATCATAAAGCCTTTGTTTAAGAGTCTTATCAATAACTATTGTTCTAGGCGGGTAAGCGCTCACTTCGCTCAAGACATTTTTTTTTTCAATTCCTAAACGGGTGAATTTTTTCATTCCTCTCTCCCGTCTTTCCAAAACGCGTTTTATTAGCTTTTTTTTAACTCTTTTATATGACCTTAGCTTATTAATTTTTTTATTTTTTTAAAAAACCATTTCATTTGACTTTAATTAAAGTTTTTAAAAGATTTTATATATACAAAAGTTAAAAATAACTTTATCTAAATAGTTATATAAGATTTAATTTATGGTGCTATCTACATTATATAATTATGATCTTGATACTCATTATTTTATTGTAAACTCCAAAAATATGTATCAAGTTCCTATAAATCTATTAAGTAGGATTTGTCTACTTGAAAATTGAAACTATGAAAAATATTTTAATTTTTACATTTCGAAAATTATATAATTGACTAATGGTAGGAATTATTAAATAAATATAGTATTTTATTATTTTTGATTTTTGATATGTATTATTTTAATTATTAAATGATTTTTAAAAATTTAAAATTATATTTAAAAAAAAAAGGTTTTTTTACGCCTATGCTAACTCAAGCTTGAAACTTCACCTCCACATTTAACCACGCTTTACACTTTTTAGAACACCGTTAATAACTATCATATCAATTATCTAATTATCTAGTGTACACAGTCTAAGCTAGTTGCCAGATATTTTGGTATCATAATTTATTTTGAGTACTTACTGTTCATCTAAGTTTTAATACAGAGTAATCTGGTATAACAATTCTAGGTCCATTGAATTGTTCGAGTATGTTTGATTGGACTCGTTGTACAATGAATACAATTTTAATTTCTTTTTCTTCTTTAATATAGCGCAATTTACTATAAAGTCGACTGCTACATTACACTGTTTAAGAACATAAATACATTCCTGAAGTTGGATTATTTGAAAATGGAATCCAGTTAAAATCATTCACCTTTTTCATTCACTGAAAGCTATGGTTCATCATACACAATGGTGTATTGCTGATGGAATTCCCTTGTGCGAAGTTGTTCTAAGTATGTTCTCTATGTACACATTGGAATTATCATTTGATAGAGATAATGAAAACCACTGGCAGTCATTGCCTATCATTTTCATATAAATTTCATTACAGTTTTCATTTACAGAAGTATGAGCAGGTAATTTGACAACAGATATACACAAGTTGAAATGATGAAGTCATGATGGAAATAACTATTATGTGTGAGACGACATCTTGATGTTTTATGCCGTTGGATAAGAAGCTTGCATGGCAATGCCACAGAGTCCTTCCTCAGCATCAATGTCCCTTTGCATTCTAATGTATCCATTCTCACCCCAACTTGTTCCCCAAGAATTCTTAACTAACCAATACTTAGTACCGTCGCTAGCTGTTGCATAACCAACTGCTGTAACGCCATGGTCTAGATCAGTCCCGCATTCTCCAGTGAAAACTCCACTCTTATAGAACTGGAAGTCTGATCCACTAGCATCAATGGCAACAGATACTGGTTGTTTAGCCACGGATTTAAGCAATGCTGACTCGCTATTAGCTGGAACATCCTCATATCCTGTAATCGTGGCAGCATGGGAGGATTCCTTCTTACTGTTGCAAGTGTTGTCTGTTCCGGCGTATGGGTAATTAGATTCAGTTGTAAGTCCGTGGTTCTTGATGATGAACTCAAACGCATTATCCATTAGACCTCCATTGCAGCCCATATCTTCACTTGTGTCGCAATCCACAAGTTCTTGTTCAGATAATGAAATCAATTTTCCTGTNCTTGTTCGGATAGTGAAATCAATTTCCCTGTTGAAAGTTGGTTGATTCCTTCTGTAGCTGCAACAGCTGAGAATGCCCAGCAGCAACCTATAATTTATGTACCAATAGTTAGATAAACACATAAAAATATAGTTAGAAGCAGAAAATATGTAACAAAGAATTGCATTAAACAATAGTTTGTTAACCAACCACATTGGCCTTGGTCCTTAACACCAGTAACAGCTCCCTTCTTTCTCCAGTCCATGCTCGATGGAACCGCGGTCATATTTTCATACCTAAATGACGACGCTTTAGGTGACTTTAGGAAAGATGACATTTTGTATCCATTCCGAGATGCCTGACACTCCTTGTTTGTCAGATCAGCAAATTGAGTGATGCCAAGCTGATAAGACCGAGTCCCTGCTTTGTTAGAAGTCTCAATGTACTCTACATTCTCCTTAAATATTTTGTATCGCATTGCCTTCTCTGCACTATCCTTATACTGGCGTCCATATTGTGCCATCCATTGCTCGTGTTTTTCAACCATGGATACGTCTTGCAATGAACGAGCTATGGCTTGAGACGCCCACATCTCCAACAGGAGCAATGTGATAAAAACAAGCTTCCAACTGGGAGTCAAAGCCATTCTTTCGAGTAGGAGAGTTTAATGTATTTGAATTTAATTATCTGAAGAAATGTTTGTACTGCATCCATCCGAGAGACAGGTATATATAGAAGAAATTCATGGAGTTCATTCTTCTACAAAATATTACCTTCAACTGCATCTCGAAGTCCCTGGATAGCCCGGTAAGTTGGGGATGACGGGGAAATTATAGCTCAATTCCGTGGCCGCTGCTTCATTATATTCAATTATTAAATGGATGTCCTGATTGATTAGGTATTTTTTTCAATATTTTGGATTTTAGTGAACAAATGTTTCATCCTGGTTTAACTTATTGCTCGCAATATTTTGAAATAAAAATATTAATTTATTTATTTTTTATAAATTAATTGTATAAATATGAGCTTGTATTTGTTTATAGATCATTTTGATATTATAAATCGAGTGCATAAGTTGTTAATTACGAAAAAAATACAATTTATAATTTGATCTTATTGTTTTTCATTCACAATTGGTAAATAAAGGCAAACATTTTATTTTGATAATAACGAGGAACATGTATTCGAAATATGGAATACGTTGCCCGTTTAGGCACGATCATGAAATCAAATAATTTTTCAGCAGACAATTAAATCTGATCTCAGTAATTTGATATTGATTGTTGAATTAATATTATGATGTGATGATGTGGAACCGTCATACAAAAAATAGGATTTACGGATTTGTGTATATTTAGAAAACAGCATTTTTGTTATTTTAACCTTGTTCCAAATATTCGATATTGTCAATAGGGTAAGTTAAAATCATACATCACAAAAGGTCATTTCTTCACAAGATTTACTGCATTCTACAGACCAGGACAAGCAGGCAAACCTGCTCCAGCGATTGTCCTTTGAATCTTATACAAGGTAAAGACCCTCCGATGATGGAGAAGCAATTGTCAAACAAAATACTATTCTACTTTGAAATTTTTTATAGTTCCATGTTAAACAAAACAAAAGAAACTTCAAGTTCTGGATTTTTATAACACAAATGATATGGAAGCCTGGCCATTCTTGATGTTTGCCTTCATGATGGAAAATTTTTGGTTGCTAAACACATATTATCTGTTATAGATAAGTATTGCGGAAAAGGAGAAAAGGAGAAGAAATGTTATTCAATTCAATCAGTGAATAAATGGTGATACAACCAGTATAAATAGCAGCTGAAAATGTAAAAGGCGGGAAGGTAAGAAAAAGGGGGGAAAGTTAGTTAAAACCTAACAAACTAAAATATCTAAAATCAAAATATCTTTAGCCACGTGGCCCTTTGACAATTAATCCCAGCTTGGCTGCTTCGGCTGCTTCATTGATTTTGATACTCCCCCTCAAGATGGACTATGAAGATTCACTATAGCCATCTTGGACAACAAATGGAGCAACATAGACACCGGTAAAAGCTTGGTAAAAATGTCTGCAAGTTGGTGATTTGTTCTAACTGGCATGAGCTTGATGGTTCCTTCATTGATCTTGTCTCTAACAAAATGACAATCTATTTCTACATGTTTAGTGCGCTCGTGAAATATAGGATTAGTAGCTACATGAACAACTGCCTGATTATCACAGAAGATCGAAGCTGGACCCTTGATGTCAACCTGAAAGTTACGAATCGGTTGCTGTATCCAAACGAGTTCACTGGCAGCTAAAGACAAAGCCCGGTATTCTGCCTCTGCAGATGATTTCGAAATGGTGGTCTGTTTCTTTGCCTTCCAAGACACCATCGAATTCCCAAGGAATACATAGAATCCAGTAACAGATTTTCTTGAGTCTAAGCATGAACCCCAATCAGCATTAGCATAAGCACGTAACTGAAGAGGTGATCCAGCAGAAAATAAAAGACCCTGGCCAGGAGTAGATTTGATGTATTGTAACAAATGATGGATTGCAGTTAAATGAGGTTTTCTGGGTTGTGAAATAAACTGACTAAGCTTTTGAACCGTAAATGTAATGTCTGGTCTAGATACGATTAAGTACAATAGACTACCAATCAACCTTCTATACATGGAGATATCTTCCAGTAACTCCCCCTCAAAGGAGTTAAGGCGAACTTTGGGATCCATTGGAACCACAGCAGGCTTGCTTCCCAAGAATCCTGTGTCATGTAAGAGCTGAAGTGCATAGTGCCTCTGGGACAGGGCAATTCCACTCTGAGATCTCGCAATTTCCAACCCAAGGAAAAATTTGAGGTTACCAGGATCTTTGAGCTTAAATTGATTGTGAAGGAAAACCTTTAAATCATTAATGATTCCAGAATCTGAACCAGTGATGACTATGTCATCAACATACACCAATAAAGCAACAAAGGTATTCCCAGACCCCTTAGTGAAAAGGGAATAATCAGACTTCGATTGATGAAAGCCATAAAGTATAAGAGCATGGGAGAACTTCGAAAACCACTGTCGTGAAGCCTGCTTTAAACCATAGATGGATTTATGTAGCTTACATACCAAACGCTCCCCTTGTTTACCAGATGAAGTTGAAGGAGTATAACCGAGAGGCAAGTCCATGTAGATTTCTTCAAATAGATCACCAAGAAGGAAAGCGTTGTTCACGTCTAATTGAATGAGGTGCCAGTTATTAATAGCAGCAATTGCTAACAAGAGCTTCACAGTCACCATATTAGCAACCGGAGAAAATGTTTCCAACAAGTCTAACCCTTCTTGTTGAGTAAACCCCTTTCCCACTAAATGGGCTTTGTGTCGTTCAACACTTCCATCAGATCTAGACTTCATTTTATAGACCCAATTGCAGCCTATAGTATGCTTTCCTTTAGGTAGTACAATGGTGGACCAAGTTCTGTTTAATTCCATAGCACTAAGTTCAGCAGCCATCGTCTCCCTCCAATGAGCCTCTTGCACTGCCTGATGGTAAAATTGAGGTTCAGCATGTGCGGATATGTTCAAAATAAGGCTTTTATAGGAAGAAGAAAACTTGGAATAGGAAAGATAGTGTTGTAAAGGATAAGGAAGAGGAGATGGAACGATAGAGGATGATGAACTGGATAGAAGGTTGCAATGAAATTCCTGCAAATAAGAAGCAGTTTTGCTAGTCCTGAGAGACCTTCTGAGAATATGAGCAGAAGGAGCAGGAGAATTAAGATCAAGACGTGAAGTAACAACATGAGTCGGAGGATCGTGTGATACATCATGATGACTATGGCTTGAAGTATCAGCATGATCAATATTTGGATAGGATACCTCTTCATGAATGGATCTGTCATTACTATGATGTGGTGGAAAAGGATCAACAGTGAGATGTATATCAGCAGGTATAACAGGTAAAACAAGATCAGGAAAGCAGTCAAGAACTTCAGGGGTTTTTGAGATAGAGTGAAAAAGAAAAATGTGTTCATGGAAAATCACATCTCTAGATATAAAAATGGTTTTGGAGATTATATCATAAAGTCTATATCCTTTTATACCAGGATGATAGCCAATAAAAACACAAGATTTAGCTCGAGGATGGAATTTCAAACGATGAGAGGTAATGGTAGATGCAAAGCATAGACTCCCAAAGACCCTAAGAAAATGGTAATCTACTGGCAGATGATATAGGAGGGTGAAAGGAGCTTTATTTTTAAGAATAGGAGAAGGGGTTCGATTTATCAGGTAAGTAGCGGTTAGAACACAATCTCCCCAGAATGAGATGGGAACTTGTGACTGAAAGAAGAGAGCTCTTGCTACATTAAGTAAATGTTGATGCTTTCGTTCAACAACCGAATTCTGTTCAGGACATTCAGGGCAAGAAAATTGATGAAGTATCCCCCTTTTACTGAAAAATTATGTGAAGCGCAATTCAGGTGCATTATCAGACCTGAAAGCTTTAATGGTTTTGTGAAATTGGGTCTCAATAAGACCAAAGAACTTGGGAATTAGATCAAGCACATCAGACTTCTACTTCATCAGATAAACCCAAGTAAATCTAGTATTGTCATCAACAATTGTAAGGAAATACTTGTGACCATTACGAGTGGGAAAGCTATAAAGACCCCATACATCACAATGGATGAGATCAAAGGGTTCTGCTGAACAAGGAGCAATGCCATTTCTATTACTCTTGAAATGCAGCTGATCCTTTAACATATCTAATCTCTTAAAAGATAAATGTCCCAATCTATGGTGCCAAACATCAGATGTCACCTTATTTATTATAGAACAAACATGACTAACATGCCAATCATCCACAAACTGCCCTGATCCTGAATAGCACAATGATCAGTGAAAAATCGAACACTTATATCTGAGTCCTTGGTCAAAGAGCTAATAGATGACAAATTAAACTTGAACTGAGGAACAAACAACACATTGTGAAGGATCAGTTCTGAATTGACCTCAACAGTACCAATAAATTGAACAGATACACTGATGTTATTTGGCAACGTGATATAGGCACCTTGTACTGATTTTAATGTTTTGAAAGACTCTCGAGTGAAACAAACATGACTAGTTGCTCCTGAATCTAGAACCCAGTGTTTTGCAAAATTGAGCACCTCATTACTCGAAATAGATAAGCAGATACCTGATGCATTGTCTGATTTAGCAGGATCATCTCCTAATTTTGCAGCAGCAAGATGAGTGCTCAACATACTCATCAGGTTTTTGTACTGTCCAGGATTCAGAGTTTGCACAAAATCATCAACAGTATCAGCAGATTTTCTTGTAAATGAATCAGAAATTTGTTTAGTCACAGCATTTGACTTATAACCAGATTGATTATTCCTTTGATTAGCTTTGTATCCAGGTGGATAACTATGAAGCTTATAGCACTTATCAACTCCATGACCCCCATATCCACAATAAGTGCAAATAGGTCTATCCCCCTTCTGATTTTTGTTATAGGACTGCCCACCATTGGCTTTCTACTGTCATTTTTGGCATAAAAGGCCAATGAATCAGTCGTTCTAGCAGTTAGATTCACTCCTCGTTGTTGTTCCTCTTGAGAGATTAGAGAGAACACTTTATTGATTGGGGGAATTGGATCCATAAGCAATATTTTCCCTCTTACTTGAGAATAAGATTCATTTAGACCCATCAGAAAAGACATAACATACTCCATATGGTAATGCTCCATTAATTTCTTGTTTCCCTCACAGATACTTTCTACAGGTGCAAGCAGGTCTGTAATTGCTAAGCTCTTCCCACACGGTTTTCAGCTTAGTGAAATAGACACTAACTGACATTTGTCCCTGTATATGATTCATAAGATCTCGCCGTAGCTGAAAGATCCGAGGTCCATTCTTCTGCTGAAATCGCTCCTTCAGATCAGTCCAGATTTCATATGCAGACTCAAAGTACATTATGCTTGCAAAAATATCTTTTGAGACTGAATTAAGGATCCAAGAGATAACCATATTGTTATTGCGGATCCATGAATTGAGAAATTCAGAATTAATTTCAGGTCGAGTGATGGAACCATCTATGAATCCGACCTTGTTCGTCACAGACAAAGCTATGAACATAGCACGGCTCCAGGAAATGTAATTCTCACCAGTCAACTGTTGGGAAACAAGTATGAGACCGGGATTATCAGACTGATGAAGAAAATATGGATTGGAACCATCTTCAGTGGCAGAATGGCTCATCGAAGATGTGGAAATCTGAATAGGATCAATTGAATCAGTTGCCATGATCAATCAGTAAAAAAATGCGAAGCTGAGAAGCTACAGCTCTGATACCATATTGCGGAAAAGGAGAAGAAATGTTATTCAATTCAATCAGTGAATAAATGGTGATACAACCAGTATAAATAGCAGCTGAAAATGTAAAAGGCGGGAAGGTAAGAAAAAGGGGGGAAAGTTAGTTAAAACCTAACAAACTAAAATATCTAAAATCAAAATATCTTTAGCCACGTGGCCCTTTGACAATTAATCCCAGCTTGGCTGCTTCGGCTGCTTCATTGATTTTGATAATGACACAAATAGAGGGACGAAGAAACTGGAGCAGGGAAATGAAAGACTCTAATCAGCAAGTGAACGCTCCTGAACAAGGAATTTTCGTTTATCTGTTTCATTCATCTCTTTCATTACTCTTTGTTTATCATATAAATTGAAAAATATTTGCATTAGACTGAGTTTGTGGTATGCAGATTGCCAAGCAAAAATGAAGTTCATCTGCATAACGATGCCATGTGGTTCATTTAATTTTAACCTTGATTCCATACTTGTCATGAACCAAAAACTCTTCTCTAGTAGACTTAATTAACTACATCAATCCAGAAACTCCAGAGGCTCTTTGATACCCTCAGTTGCATGGTTAAGAATTAATCTATCTATTCTCTGAAATCTAAACATGGTTGAAGTCAATTAATTTCTCAGCAACCTTCTGAAATTCGAGGTTTAGACTCTTCAATCCCATTGTTGGCTTTAGTTTATATGAGTAGCCAGCATTAAATTTTAGAAACAAATGTGGGAACTTTGGATTCAGTAAATACATGAAGTAAAAGAAAGGATAAGTAAGCATTGAATCTCTCATTTACATAATGAGTTTCCAATACAACATGAATATACACAATCAGGAGCATGAGTAACTATTCATGGATCTATATAAGCAGAGGTGAAATGGTAAATAAGATCCATCTTACATCTTGACATTAATTTCATGCAATACCACTATCACTAGTTGGATAAGAAGCTTCCATGGCAATGCCACAGAGGCCTTCCTCCGCATCAATACCCCTCTGCATTCGAATGTATCCACTCTCGCCCCAGCTCGTTCCCCACGAATTCTTAACTAACCAATACTTGGTTCCATCACTAGTATTCCCATAACCAACTGCTGTAACACCATGGTCTAGATCAGTCCCGCATTCTCCAGTGAAAACTCCACTTGAGTAGAATTGGAAGGCAGATCCACTAGCATCAATGGCAACAGATACTGGTTGGTAAGCCACGGCTTTCAGCAATGACGACTCACTATTGGCTGGAACATCCTCGTGTCCTGTAATAATGGCGGCATGGGAGGATTCCTTGTTAGTGTTGCACGTGCCATCAACTCCATTGTATGGGTAATTAGATTCAGTTGTCAGGCCATGATTGCCGAGGATGAACTCAAAGGCATCGTCCATGAGGCCTCCATTACATCCCTGATCTTCACCTTTTGTGTCACAATCCACAAGTTCTTGTTCAGATAATGAAATCAATTTTCCCGTTGTGAGCTGGTTAATTCCTTCCATGGCTGCGACTGCTGAGAATGCCCAACAACATCCTATAATTTTCATTCAAATAGTTAGATAAACAACAAATTTGATGCTAGAACCAAAAAGGTTAGTTGGTTAACTTACCACATTGGCCTTGGTCCTTAACTCCAGTAACAGCTCCCTTATTTCTCCAGTCCATGCTAGAAGGAATTGCTGTCACATTTGCGTACCTAAATGATGTCTCCCCGGTAGATTTTTTGTAAGAGGACATTTTGTATCCACTACGAGATGTTCTAAATTCTTTATTCGTTAAATCAGCAAATTGATTGATGCTTAGCTTGTAAGGCCGTGTTCCAGCACTGTTGAAAGAGTCAACGAACTCAAAGTTCACCTTAAATATATTGTACCGCTTTTCCTTCTCTGCATTATCTTTATACACGCGTCCATATTGAGCCATCCATTGCTCGTGTTCTTCAACCATAGATGCTTCATTTAACGAACGAGCTGTGGCTTGAGATGCCCAAATCTCCAACACCAAGAGTGCAACAAAAATAAGCTTCCAACTTGGTGTCAAGGCCATTCTTTAAAGCTGAGTATAACAGAACCGGATGGTTGTTATATATTTAGTTTTTCTGATATGAATGAGAGAGATACGAGACGACTACTTATAGTTCTTCATAGAAATCCTTCAACGTGCATTTCAAGTTTGAAACCAATGTAGAGAGAGTTACGTGTGACCTTGGAAAGCCCGGCAAGTTATGAATGCATGGACAATCAGAGCTCAATTCCGTGGACGCTAATCCATTAGTTTCAAATGGCATTCTTTATATGTTTTGCACTTTAATTTTCTGGCGTTTTTATTTACTATTTGGATGTTACCCAATTGTCTGAACAAAAAATAAATAAATGGTTTAACCAGGCATAGTTCAAAACCGGCCTTTTACTTTTCAATCATGTTATATGAACATTAAGTTTGACATAACAATGTGGCATTCGAATTGGACCATCCAATCATCTATTGCCACAAGCAATCATGTGAAGCTTTCTGTCAAATCCTTTTAGCAAAGTAGTTTTATCCTTTATTTTTCCAATTGTGTTACATGTACATAATATGTTTACATAATGATTTACATACACATGATATAGTAATATATGATTGTGTCAGAATTTCTTCAACCAAATAAAAAATAAAAACTTCTTCACTCTCCTCCTGACACCTCATCTATATATAAGCAATTATGTAACTGCTTATGTACAAGTATCATTATTCTCATTTTTCTTTTTGTTCGTTATCTTTATCAGATGATGTGAATGCTAGAATGGACTGGTGAAAGTGTAAACTCAATAATTTATTACTTTGATTGCTAATAAAATAACCTATTAGAAGTATCATTAGTCTCGGATTTCATTAACTTTCGAAGAATATTTATAAATTTCTCGATGGGGAAGCTGAGCTAACATCATTGCCTATTAGTAGCACATGACACATGGAACCTCGTACGAATCAATAAATACCAATCTTTTAATTGTAAAAAATTCTTGGCAAACGCAAAGTAGTAAAGAACGGGTGAAATGAACCTATTGAGAAGTAAAATACAACATGAAACTATATAAATAAGGTGTTCGAAACACCTCCATATAGTTGACATGGGTTTCACTTTAATGATAAATAGTGGAGTGCTTCAATTGGAACTGAAAGTTTCAGAACACGCAGCTGGTTAACAAGAACGGGACTGCAATCCATAACAGCTAGCTTGTGAGATGGATGGCTCAGCCGAAGCCAAGGATGCCCGACACAAGCTGCCCTGGAAACAGCCAGTGCCGGCCCGGCCCAGCACAGCACAGCTTATGTCATGTTAGATACGGAACCACTGTAATGAGAAACAGAATGAACTGGGTGCTTGGGCTGGCAACCCAACAACCTGTCTGGTCTGTCTCCATTCGACCAGATTAGAAACGAACGAGTCAAAATTAGGCAACATGATCTTTTAAGTATTTCAAACTAGGCAAATGTTTTACAATAGGGACACTGCTATGGTTATTACCATTGCATTCATTTCTCAATCCATGAGGCATGTTAGTGAATACAACAAGAGGCTTTATAACTACATTCTGAATTAGATAATCATATGAAATAATAATCAGAAATAACAAAAGCATTTCTTTCTACAGTACTGAAATAGAAACTGATAAATTTTTTTTCTTTCTTTCTTTCTTTCTTTCATTTTTTTTTTTTTTGGTTTTCAACCTAGCTACACATGGTTCAGCATCTTGAATCAACCAACTCCTCAATGCATGAACTTGGGGCTGATTAATTAAAAATTGATCAAGTCAAAAGAGTATACCCACACCTATCCTTCAATAAAATGTAGTAGTAGACCAGGCAGTTGGATCGAGCAATAGACGAAACTTGAAGTACAAGTGCACCAGTATACAAACCTGTACCTCAGTGAAAAGGAGCAAAAAGGGAAAAGATACTATGACTAGGTGTAAACCCTTCTGCTGGTTCTTGGCAATCATCAGGAAATCAAAAATAGATCAAATTCCAGACACATTCATCCTTTTGCATCCAGTTAACAGATTGGCTAGAGCTTGTATTAAAGATTTAGGATCAAACAAAATACCTCCCTTCGAATCATGAACAGAGTCAACAGTAACCTACAACATTTCAATTAACCAAAATGAGCACAAAAGCACAGATAAATGAAGCATACAACATATCAAGTAAACAAGCACTACATCAATTGCATATGCTCTTTACAAAGCAAGTGCAAGCTTATAGTTTTGATGACATAATGCATAGTGGTGAGTGAAGAGGAATGCAATCGTACAATAACCAGCCACAGATTATGTACCATGTAGATTGATAACTAGACAGGGAATTCAAAAGGCTTTCAATTGTGATGTGAAACAGGTAAGTCCAATAGATGAGTGCTACTAGAATTCGACAGTAATCCTTAAAATGGTAGAGAAAGAGGATTATCTCTATCTTTGGTTTCTCAAGTAGGAGATTGCGATACCTATCTCCTGCCCTAGCCCCAGCAGACGTCCCCATATTAACTTTTAGACTGATATCCGCACTAAAAATATAAGCAAGACAACGTAAAAGGAAAAAGGAAAAATAAAATAACGAATAGATAAATCAAGAGATTTTTCTGAGAAATTGAATAGGGAAGCGCAAGAAAAGCTTGTGGGATTTAATCCTGAAGAGGCTGCTCCATTGATTGCTATGGATACTTAAACAGCTTATAGGGATAATTGATCTGTGCAAGTCGTAATTATGTTTCTTGTAAGGAAACTAATATATTTATACTAACAAAACAGTATTTCAGAATTTATCGAAAAACTTTGCAGACATAATAATCTGCTAAAAAAAGCCAGTGCACCTTATATAAGACTAAACAACTAAATAAATCACCTGGAAAGGGTCATGTAATCTGAAAAAGTTTGGCAATATCACAGATTTAGGATACTCTAAAAAGGATGTGGAGTGACTTAGTCATGCATTATTTATACTTGAAGCTCAGGAAGGTTTCTGGTTAATGAGGATATTGCAGATTTAGACATTTTTTTCACTTCCTTCTCTACAGATAGAGATTTCAAAAATCGTCCTGTTAAAGTGAAAAAAATTAATTGCAAGAACTCCAGTAATATATTCTAACTCTTATTTAAAGTATTCATCACCAAGCCTTACTCTTGGAACGAAGAAGAAGAGAAAAGGAGCACAAAGATTCCATATAACAGCAATTTCGGGATAACAATAATTCTAGTGCCAAGATATATCATACTTATGTCAAAGATACGATGGCATTCACATCTACACAAGGAACTCTTTCGATGTATCATTTTAATAAACTCTCAACTGATATCAGACTTCTATGGTGCCCCCAAGAAAATTGTAAAATGCAAGCATACCATGTGAAAGATCCCTTGGGCGGCCAGACAATCAACATCTACAGGAATTTGACAACCTTCGGGCACAAAAATTGTATTGATGTATTCATTTGGCTGCAAAGGGAAATGAACCAATTTAAGTAACACATATTTCTCCGAGTCTCCACCACCATTTAAAAGATGTCATAAAACATGACAGGCTAAATGCTGCAAAAGGCGTTTTCACCTATTATATATTATACTCAATAGTTTTCTCTACCCTTTCACAGCATGAAGAATGGAAAGCACTATCTAAAATATATTTCCAATCCTCCCTTCCCCCATACCTCTTAATAGTGAACAATTAGATTGCTTTTCTATTTGCATATGATCTCCTTAACATCTCTTAGGTGAGGACCCAATAATGTCCACTGATTAAAATAATTAAAAAACAAGATATCTTCTATAGTGAAATCTTCTTATATGCAAACACTTCTACTATATGCCTCAAACTACTTACAGGATTTTTAAGTCTGTTGTGTGGATCTCCATAAGATCGATTTAAAGCATCCGAAATAGCAGTCACAAAGCAAGAAGCTGTGAAGCCACTAGTTTCTCTGTCATGAGTACCGTTCAAAAAAAGCACCTGACAAGGGAAGAATTAAAATTTAAAATATATGGTAGAAGAAAATACAAAAATCCTGCTAGAGGCATATAACTGAGTTAAAGGATCCTATGCAGAGTGAAGTACGACTCAAAAGATCACAGCATATTAGTTAGTAAGCAATGGAAGAATGACTGAATACTATTTATCAGCTTTTCTAATCTCAAAACAGGGTCACCAGTAAGATAAAAAATATCACCTTGGGACAAGTGCGTGAAGAAATAATTTCCCCAATTCCGAGTAGAACCTGAAAATGGAGCACAAGCTATGAGAGAACAGATTCCAACAAGTTAAAATCAGAGTTTCTCGTAGTGCTCACTGCTCAGGCTTCAGAACAGGCTATTGAACAATGACTTCATCCAGAAAATGTACTGAAAATTGGATTATAAATTTTCAGCTCTTTGCACCATAGGCAAGAAGGACCATGCTTAAGATTGGTTTTTGATAGAAATTCACAGAGGTTTCCAACTAAGAAAGAACACAAGGTAACAGAGAGGGTTCAAGTGTCAATGGAGAAACCATGAAAGCAGAAAATGATTGGAGCTTCTATTCGAAATGTTGCAAATGTAGGTTTTTTTTTTCCACACTTCATTACATCAAACTGAACTGCTAATTTCTAAGAAATAGCACATGTCATGTGCTTTTAGCTTTTCTAATAGCCTTCTATAAGACGGGTTAAAATGTATTTTGAAAGGCTGAACCAAATAAAAATGAAATCATGTTGCAGATGGAACCAAATTATCATAGGTTCATTCAAATAATCAAATTTTTTTTACTGATTTTCGCTAATACAATTTGAATAATGAAAATTAGAACCATTTTACAATAACTCTTTTGTGCTAGAGCATGCGACACAATCAATGGATAAATGAATTGTTATATGGGTACAGCATATGTAGTAATATGGTTCAGATTGTTACGAGGGAGGGGCATATGGAAGTAAATAGTGATCCCATGGCAAAGATAATGCAGTCCACACCCCTCAGCTGTTCTAAGACAGTTGGATTTGCATTTGGAAAGACCTGCCCATAAAAACACGTAAATGTGTTAAATGAGATAACCAGTCACACAATCCCCAGGAGTGGGTTACTGCTCTTTTTATGTGATCACTACTTTGGTACTTTGAACCCTTTTTATTTTTATTATGGATTTTATGGTTTATAAATTATTGTGAATATATTTTCGTATTCTTGTGATGTCTTCAATTATTCGAGAGGTTTTATGTTGAGGGCTTCTTGAGACTTACCCTTGCTCAAAGAGGCAAAACATCTCGATACTTGATTTAGTCTTTTTAAACATTGACTTAAACCTTTCAGTTAAGGACTCTTGACTAGAAACGTCAATTTTGAAGTGAAAATTTCCAAAGTGAAGAAATCAAGATTGCAATCAGTAGAAAATTTTAATCATCTTACTTCGGGTACAGTAGAAAATTACACGCAAATTTACTGAGTTTCTTCTCCATTCTTTCTTGTAACAATGTTTGTTTTTCTTATCTATGCATTCCTTAATGGCAAATTGACAAGAACAAGAAGCATCAATTACCTCATGCAATAAATTGTTGCCTTCACTGGACATATAAAACACCCGTTTTATTCTTGAATGCAGGGCTGGAACCGAAGAGTTACTCTGTAAACAAAATCATTGGGTCGAATTTATTTTAGTTTTATTTATAAATAACTTAGCAATTGCTGCAATAAATTATACCCATTACATATCTTGTTGAAACATTAGGTTACATAATTCATAAAACAATTTTTTTAAACCCAAATCAAGCTATTGCTAAATAATAAAGTTCTAGATAAGCTATCAACTAAAAAGAGAGACAATGCCTTCGTAAAAGTAACAAACATTATAACGATAGTTATAGTTATGAGAAGTTCTAGCCATCATAAATGGAGAACGTACCTTATTTATGGGTTCCATTGATCCATTGCTTGGATGTGATATTTCATTTTGACCCCGTATTATGGTGCCATCCTCATGTCAACCAAAAACGAGAGAAAATAATAACTTAATAACCCTTATCACATGCTAAAATTTCACGCTTCAATACTATAGGGTTCTGTTATTTTGATCTCAAACACTTCCTCCATTTTCTGCTTGATATACATATACAGTAACATTCCACAAGACTGTGTTGTATTTAAAACAAAAAACATACCAACAATTCACAACCCAATGTAAGCCTGTCATTTGTCGATATCACAGGGAGGACCTGGCTTTCAGAGGGAATTTCTGAGACACGTGAAAACAAAAAAATTGCAGCATCTAAAGACTGAAAGAATATGCGCGCTCCAGCAAAGAAAAAATTCCCAATGCTGCAAATATGACAAGAGAGAATCAAGCTTGTGCTAACAATTCTCACAACAACTCGAGTATGGGGGAAGAGCAGGATTGGAGTAGCTAATAGAAAATAATTACAGTATAATGTAAACCAGAGAGAAACTCAATGATAAGTGATAACAGAACTGACTCTGTCATTTTAAGTATGTAGAATACTAAATAGAATGTCAATTTTATTTGGGAGTGAGAGGCCAATTCTTGTGACTTCTCAAAGTAAGCATTTTTCAATGCCCAGGCATTATTTTACACCTGGTGGCATAAGCCTGAGATAAGAATTTTTTAATGCCGAGGTGTTACTGTTTTACCTCACTCCTGAGGCCATTTCTTCAGTCAGTTGAGTTTCCGACAACTTTATTTAAGGTAAGCCGGACTACATTTCATCAATATTTTTCATGTCTATTTTGTGTGTGTGTGTGTGTGTCATTTAATATCATTTTGGTTAATACAACATGGAACCTCAAATCAAAATGCTTATTTAGAAGGGAGAAATTATTGCACGTGAACAAATAGTGGCTGGTTCTCATTTTAAATTACAAAACTTGTACAAAAATTTGCAATAATATAATTTCTTAGTAATCCTGGGCATTCTCCATGTATATTCATATACATCACAGAAAAACACAAACACCATATATTATTCAATTGTGCATTAGATGTCCCTTGGATGGAATTTTGAAACATAAATCTCAATCTAGCACTTTAACTGAAGAAGCTTGGTAATGGATGCTAAAATGGTACAATAAGATTCAAATGGAAAGTTTCCACTAGTCGTGAAGTACCTCCCATTACTGAAACAGAAAGACTCTTCCGAGCGCCTGAGTACCTACAAAAATAAGTGTTCACCACACATATATGATGAGTATTGAAAGTAAAAGTAGAGTGAAAAACTGAAAAAATTTAAAGCCATAAATAAAACCCAAATATAATAATAAAACATGGGCTTCCTTTAGAAAGTACCATTTTAGCCCACACCCCCTTGAAAAAAAGAAGCTAATTAGAATGTACCTCATACCCATTTTGCCAACACTTACCAATTTCAAGACATCATTACTATGTCCACCAAACATCAGAACATAAAATTTTACCGATGCTCTGGAGGCTAAAGGACAATTGCATACAAGAAACAAATTTCAAAAAACTTAGATAAAATGAGATTTAGACAAGAGGCATGTAAAAGAAAGCAAAAACAACATTTTGTGGAAAGATTTCAAGGTTAGAACATTTACATATATCCATGAGGACACACCTTCCAGTTATAAATATAAGAGTGATCAATATGGGCATGGCAATATCAACAGACCTGATCCTGGAAAAAGACCAAGAAAGCTCGAATAGTTTCCCTATATGGTTTTGAGACACCCATCCACAGAGAATGATTCCCTTCCACGATAGAATACCTGTTGAATTCTCAACTTAGCAAACTAGCACTTGTTACTCCAAACTGTGTAAGACCTAGCAAGTAGATGGGAGGATTTCGAAGAAAACTGTAGAAATAAGATAAATGAAAGCCACAGGAAACTAATCACGGCACAAAATTGATTAGCCCTATCAGGCAATTTAGTTAATAAAAAAGATAAACAATCCTACAAAACATTAAAGTAGGAGGAAAGCATTATTCAAGCTAGATTGATTTTAATACCATTCTGATTTTGCTTTCTGTGCCTCAAGAGGTAGTCGGTGACCTAACAATGTCCTCACTGCAAGAGCCTCAGATGTACTTTGATCAGATAGTCTCAAGCATCTTGACCGAATGTCTCCAACAGCTGGACCACCTATGAACATACCCATAAAAAAGGTTTATTCAAGGAAAGATAACATAAAATTACATGCCAATCAAATAATACTATAGTAAAAGTAACTTTTAAACTGGTACTTCTTTAACCTACTTTAGGTTCTCAGAAATGTCAATATGATATGTCATACACTACTGTTTAATCAAATAGTATTTAATAGCATTGACTGATTCGAAAGCACCATTGAGATTTTGTTGGGTTTAGCTTAATCACCAAAAGCCAGCCTGAGAACCAGCAGCCCTTCCAACGACAGCAATCAATTGACAAAAGCCCCAAGAAACAAGAAGATAGCTGAAACAGAAGGTTTAAATTGTAGCTGTAGAACTCACCAAGAACACGAACAATCTCAGCGGTGCTTCCTCCATCATCAGAAACAGGGAGTACATGAGCCACACAAGTCGTTAAATTCTTAAGTTCTTCCACAACACCATTAAAGGCAGTTCCCCCTGCAGCACCAGCAAGTTGTTAAACAGTTTCACAGGAACCATGATAGGTTTCCAGTTAAGAAAGACATTCTACAGAAACAGTATGCAGCATTGAAGTTTAGAGTTCCACATAAGTGAAGTGCCTCACTGTTCCTAAGACGTTATAGAACATAACCCATTGTTACCATGCATATCTGCCATTCTGGACTTTGGGTCAGTGATAGTCTTCAACAGAAAACTACTCGTTGAATCTTTGGAATACAAACCTCGCAAATAATGTGTCTTGCTAACCGCAAGCTTGACATATATACTAAAGAAACTGGTAAAAATAGCCTAAATCTCCAAATACGTTAGAAAATCTTGCACTCATATGCATCTCAAAATTCTAAGAACTTATTTTTGTATGTGGATAAAGTGGGAAAATAAGATAAAATTAGTTTGGCTTCTAGAAATGGAGCAAAGTTTTGTGACATCTGAAAAGGTAAAATGTGACAATAACAATGGGAGCTTCCACATCAGTTTTTAGATAACCAGAGTGATGAAACTCACATGTATCATAGTTACATTTATTAAAGAATCTATAAATCAAATTAGAAAACTAAGGGGCTGTTCTCTTTGTGTTTCAATTTTGTGTTTTGAGTTTTGAATTCATTTTGTGTTTTGTGTTTTGGGTGTCCATTTTGAGATTGTTGAAAATGTGTTCTTTTTGCCATTTTGAAAAATTGTTTGAAAAACTCAAAATTGAAAAGTTGTTCTCATCCAAACACATTTTCTTCCCTTCTCTCTCTCTCTCTCTCTCTCTCTCTCCTTTTCCGACCACAAGCTTGGCCTTCTTCACACAGTAAATGAACTGACCGGTGTAGATTCCTTCGGCCGCGACGTGTGTGGAGGTGAGGGGAAGGGGACAACTGGGAAATGGAGGCGAGGGGAAGGTGGCGGTGGAACGAAAATTGGAGCATTTTCTGAATTAATTGGTGCAATTGATATGTAACCCATCGTCTCATGTGCCTGCTGAAGACTCAATTGGGGCCAATTTGATGATTCAATGTTGTGGGGATGAGGAATTGAAGTGCGACCTTAGGTGTTAATTCCAGCAGAAGCAGTTTGTGCCGAATTTCTTTTTGAGGATATTTTTGATCGATTTTGGTACATGATTGGATTGTTGTTTGTGTGATGATTGAAGAGGGGATTGAGGGCTTCACAATGGTACATAAATCCGGCCATTTTGGAGGAGGTTGGCTGAGTTTAGAGGGTTGGAAGGTGGCGGTGAAGGTGGAGGTGGCTTAGCAGAAAGGAGGGAGGAGACATTTTGGGGAAACAGGGTTGTTTCCCTTGTTTTCCATTGGCTGATCTGTTTGTGAAGAAAACGCCTCACATTTTTTTTTTGTTTTCCAAAATCTGCTTTCGAAAATGACAAAGAGAACGCGTTTTCATTGTTTTGAAAAATCGAAAACAGAAAACGACCCAAAACGGCTAAAGAGAACGATTCCTAATAGTCCAGAGGTATCAGAGTGTCTAAAATAGATACGGCAACACTTTCCCTTGCAATGTAACATGCATTATAATCATACAAGCTGGAAATTTTATCACTGCACCTGCAAGTGAATAGCAGATAATCATTACATCATGTTCTAAAAATTTACCGATATAGGTACGCAGTATGATTGACAAAGTTCCAAAATCCACCGCTTACTTGTCATCACTCTAAAAAAAGGGACAAAAGGTTGCGTGTTGAAGGTCTGTTTGACCGCTGGATGATTGCATCACTAAATATTTAGCGGTGGATTCCTTCTTCATTAAAATTATGAAAGAAATTCCACGTGCAAAGGGATTACCAGCACTTAATGCTCTAATTAAATGGACTAAGTAACAAAAGGAATAACAAGTGCAAGTAGTGAAACATTTCTGCATACACAATTACAGTCATGAACTATATGCAAAGTCCAAAGTCTTAAAATTTTCATCAATGCTTAATCACATTATTTTCTACTGATGTACAAATTTCATAGAACGGGATGTAATAAAAAAAAAAGGAACCTTGCTACACTTACACACCTTGGTACACAACTTGGTACACAACCCTCTCACATATGTATGGGGTCCACAAGTGGACCCCACACACATTTGAGAGGGTTGTGTACCAAGTGTGTACAAGTAGCATAAACATTTGAGAGGGTTGTGTACCAAGTGTGTACAAGTAGCATTTTTCTAAACAAAGATAAGTGCCAATCAGTTTCATATGCATCTACAGACTACTTGAGTAGTTGAATGTTTATGCGAACCAAGAATCAATTATCTAGGCCAAATGGTTAAATTAAAAGGTTACTGTTTCCTATGAGCCATCCATACTTCCTTTTCTGTGATTTCTACTTTAATTCCATTGTTGCTTACAATGATGACTCACTTCAAAAATTTCAACAAGGAAACTATATTTCAGCATAAAATTTCAAACACGTTTAGCCCTATTCAATTTATTTTACAACCATAGTGAAAATAGCAATCTAAATATGGATTGAATTACATTTTGATTTCAGAAATTTCTGACGAAATGTAGACAACCTCCATCAAAGTTTCTTTTTTTTTTTTAATGTTCTTCAATCGATCGTATGATTTAATTGATTAATAGAGGATTTCGTTCTTCAAAGTTTTGGAACGACTATACCAATATAGCAAAACTCCCAGTATTCTAATGTTGCACAATCATGGCAACAAGAACAGAATAACCACAAAACAAACGAAATTTTCATGGGCTTTAGTTCTTCGATAAAAAGATCAATTTGGTACTTATGGGAGGTCCAAAACAACACCAAACACGAATGAAATCCTCACATTACAAATCCCATTTCCCCTTCATATTTACCTTTTCTTGAAAACAAACAAATTAACTTTCAAATATTTTAGTGCGTGTGTGGGTGTAAATAGATAAAGAGGGATAACATACCTGAAAAAACAAGCAAAGACGGCTGATTGGAGGAACAATTGGAAGTGGTACCGATGCTGGAAGCAGATGAACAGTGACAGTAGCGAGCACTATTGTTCAAAAAAGAATTAACGGGCGCCATAAAAGAAAAGGAAAAAGAAGAAGAGATGTTTCTTGACAATGAAAGAGGAGGAAAAGAAAGGAGAAGGGGGGATGGAAATGGAAAATTGTGAATATGGAAATGAGAATTTGAGGACGGAAAGGAAAGCAGGGGTCCCAAGTAACTGTCCGCCATAGTCCCGGGATTCCTTATTTCCAACCAATAAACAGAGAGGAATTGGTTTCAGTTATTTAAGGTTTTGGCTACTTTGGGTGCACCCATAAATACCAATTATTACCGAGAAATGTACCAAATCTTCAATTTTGGAACCTGTTTGGCTCCCTTTCTTTTGATTTTTAATGTTTGGAACAGTGTTTTTCGGAGGATGTTTGGTTTAAAAAGAAGAGAATTTTTTCGATTTACATGTAATATTATTTTGTGAGAGATTGTATGATTGAAAATAAGATAGAAAAGAAAAAATGAGAATGAGAAAAAGAAATGGACCAACCAGGGGCATGGGCAACCTCTAAATCCCTCTATAATTAGATACGAACGTGAGGATTGTAAGAACAAGTTTATAAAGTCGTTGATTTAGAAAAAAATATTGTGAATTTAGAAATTTAATATTTATTGGTTCACCATCCAATATCGAATGATTGATTTGATCGAGAAATGTTGATTTTCCCATGAATATCTATTTGGATCAAAATTTCAAGAAGTAAAACTCTAACCACTTTCATAATTTTTCAAATCAAAATACTCCAAAAAAAATAAAATTTAAAGTTTGCAGGTTAATAAAAGAAAAATGGGTAATTGGCGCAATACCCTCTATCTTTCACTTGTTCCGTGGAATATCCCATATTCTTTCATTTTGACATAAAACCCCCTAAATGGCCCAAGCTTAGTGAAAAATTCCTTATGCCCAATTCTACTCTTCATCTCAGTCGAAATAGGATGTGTCGAGACTACAATTATTGCTTTCTAGTTCTTTCCCTAGCTAGTCGCCCCTGTGTGTTTAGGCGTCAAACCCACTAAAGAGGGCCAAAATTAAAATGAAGGAACCAAAACCAAAAGAGAATTGAAAGAAAAGAAATCAACAGTCATTTAAAGAAGACCCGAATTTTAAAACGAAGGATATGCGAATTTGGAACAATAGGCATTAAAACGACAGCAGAACATTAGAGAAGAATATTAGTAGATGCTCGGAATTTTGTGAATTATTTTGTTTCTCGGGGTCAATTTGTGCTCCATCACTTCCATTTCCCCCAAATAATTCATTTTTCTTTGGATCTTTCCCTATCGATCCGAGCTTCATGCACCGTATCAGTCACCTGTCGTATCGGATTCTTGTCAACAACCTACTTGATGTCATCACTAGTGCTCAATGATTCTAGCAAATGCAGGTAACATTATTAGATGACATTTTAAAAGTTGAATGAAATATGACAAAAAAATCAACTTAGGGTGTGTTTGAGTCACATATGCTCGGAATTTTGTGAATTATTTTGTTTCTCGGGGTCAATTTGTGCTCCATCACTTCCATTTCCCCCAAATAATTCATTTTTCTTTGGATCTTTCCCTGTCAATCCGAACTTCATGCACCGTATCAGTCACCTGTCGTATCGGATTCTTGTCAACAACCTACTTGATGTCATCACTAGTGCTCAATGATTCTAGCAAATGCAGTTAACATTATTGGATGACATTTTAAAAGTTAAATGAAATATGACCAAAAAATCAACTTAGAGTGTGTTTGAGTCACATTATTTGGGAAGAATGTATTCTAAAATAGTAGATTAATGGAGAATGTGTGGTTGAAAAAGAAGGAAAAGTTATTGATTTCATAAAAAATATTATTTTATTGAAAAATGTGTAGTTGAAAATGAGTAGAAGAATGATAATGAAAATTTTAATATATACCAAACAGGGGCTTAATTCAACTTCAAGAAAATGATTTAAATGGGAACCTTCGGTGAGTTGTCTCTCGTGATTTCACCCGGATCGAATCATTAAAATAATTTAAAATAAATTCAATATATATATAGAGAGTGTTAAATGGATTGAAAATCATTTAATAAACGATTTTTGACCCACCTAAAATATATATTGTTGACCTCGTTTTTGCACAATTGACGTGGACAACAGATATCGAGCTCACTCACGTTGTCTCAAACTAATTCCAACACGCGCGAAACAATTGTTTATCGACAATAAACATGGTATGAATGTGGGATAAGCTTTATAACAAGAGAGAGGGATGTTCGGGGTCAATTAAGAACCAAACTCACAATCAAAATTGTACTTCAAACACTAAAACCACTAGATTAAACTGAAAGAGAATATATATGGTTTGTAATTAATATTTTTTCATTACCCTCAAATGGCATAAATAAGAGGATATTTATAGTATTACATGTGCAATAATAACCATTGGATGAGATGCCATGTGGCTTCATCTTCTTTACCAAAACATCACATCTAAGGTAACACTTTTGACTCTACTAGCCTGTGGCGCATTAAATGTCCCAAAAAAGAAATGGCTACCCCATTCCCCATGTGACAAGATTAATCTTTTTACTCATTACAACAGTCTAATAAATCATTCTAAAAGGATTTCATAAATTTAAGATTTTCAA